ATAGATAGATAGATAGATAGATAGATAGATAGATAGATAGATAGATAGATAGATAGATAGATAGATAGATAGATAGAGAGGGGGGAGACGATACTCTAGTAGAAAAAAGTAGAAAGAAGAAAGAAAGAAAGAAAGAAAGAAAGAAAGAAAGAAAGAAAGAAAGAAAGAAAGAAAGAAAGAAAGAAAGAAAGAAAGAAAGAAAAAACTTGATACGGAAAAGGAGAGGAGAAAAAAAGTGGGGAAAAAAGGATGTAAGAATCTGCAAAAGATGAAAAGAAACCAAGAAACTAGTAAACCCACAAACAAACATAATAAAGTAAATAAATTAAAATGAAAAACAAAGGAGAGACCAAAGGAGAGAGCAGCAGCACCAGTGTCTGTTGTAGGGACGGTTTGATCATGAGGAGCGCCCCAGCTGATCTCGCCATTTGTCACCAGTTTCACTGAACCAACAGTCTCTAAGCGGATCAGCTGAGCTCTCCTACCGTGCTTCGCTCCCGTGGGACCCTAATGGTGCCGGGTGAACCGTTATTTCCCCGCAGATACAGATAACGTACAGATACAGATATATTGATATACAGTTACAGATACAGATATAGATACAGATATACAGATACAGATACAGATATACAGATATACAGATACAGATACAGATATAGATACAGATATACAGATACAGATACAGATGTACAGATATACAGATACAGATACAGATACAGATACAGAAATACAGATACAGAAATACAGATACAGAAATACAGATACAGATATACAGATGCAGAATAACAGATAGAGATACAGATACAGATACAGATACAGAATAACAGATACAGATACAGAAACAGATACAGATATACACATATAGATACAGATACAGATACAGATATACAGATATAGATACAGATACAGATATAGATACAGATACAGATATACGGATATACAGATATACGGATATAAGACACAGATACAGATACAGATACAGATATTACAGATACAGATACAGATACAGATACAGATATACAGATATAGATACAGATACAGATACAGATATTACAGATACAGATACATACAGATACAGATACAGATATACAGATACAGATACAGATATTACAGATACAGATACATACAGATACAGATACAGATATACAGATATAGATACAGATACAGATATAGATACAGATACAGATATACGGATATACAGATATACGGATATAAGACACAGATACAGATACAGATACAGATATTACAGATACAGATACAGATACAGATACAGATATACAGATATAGATACAGATACAGATA